CCTGGGCAATATAGTGATTCCCTGTCTCTAAAAAAAAAAAAAAAAAAAACTATCTGATACTTTTCCAACTCCTGTCATCATGGAAATGGACTCTATCAGTTTAGCACTCAAAAGCTCACTAATTGCCTGAAAAACTCACCTTCTCAAAACAGATTCCTTAAAAGCTAAGTCAATACATTCTCAAGTATCCTGGACCAACAAGAGTCCTCAAGCTAACTGGAAGGTCAATGCTGACTTATGCACATGATTGTCATGAGAATCAAATGAGACCATGTGCTAAGCCTGCTGGTGTACACCTGTAACTCAAGCTACTATGGATGATGATACTAGCCTGGAGAACTTACCAAGACCCTATCTTAGAACTAAATAATAAAAAGGATTGGAGATATAGCTAAGTGCTTCCTGTATTCAATCTCCAGAATGAAGAAAATTAATCATCACAATGACATTTAACACTCATGTGCCTAAGTAGACTGTAAACAAAAATCAATGCAACTTTGAAAGCTGGTTTGGATTCTTGGATAATCAATTAATGTCATTAACTTTCAAAAAAGGGCAGTGCCAGGGCTGAAAATGTTTGCTGATCTGACATTTCTGCCTGAAGTTCCATCCTGAGTCAATAAGCACAAATGAGGACCTGCATCTTCTCACCATACCCGTGCGGCTTTCATCAATCCTGGCTCCCTTGTACCCTCGACTGACCAGCTGCTTACCTCAACTCAGCTCTTTGGTGCAGTTCATTTCTGGCCTTATCACTTTGGCCTCTTGGCTCCACTCTGTAGCCTCCTAGAGATCCTCTTCCCACACACAACCTCAAATCCACCCTGTTCCTGAAGCCCAGAGCGATGTTTTACCACCTGGCTTTACACCCACCTATGCCTCTCACCAAGAGGGTAACTTCTCAGCCCTCCAAGCCTGCTTCTGTATCTATACACCTAAAAAGAGAAGTATACATCAGGCAGGGTATACATTAGCCTACCATGTATGGGGCCCAGCATTTGATTCCCAGTACGTCTAAAAAAACCAAGATAAAAACAACAAAACACAACAAACAGAATTGGGCCAGCTCATCTATAAAACTCCATTTCACTACTGTAAGAATCACATTTCTATGGGAGATAACAACAGCACAGGGAATACAAACTACTTAGTTTCTACCTCCCTGGAACAAACAGCCAAAGTAGTTAACCCTGCCCTGAACCATTTCAAGTTTCCCTAGATGCATCTAATCTTTCAACAAATACTCACTAGGCACCTATTTGTGACTATTCCTATACTGGACTCCTAAAAACAGAGTGATAAACAAGACAGTGCCTGTTCCCCGTGAGGTGGCTGCCTAGCAGGACTCACACTTATACCAAGGGCTGCAGTAGATGTCAGGATGTGTGAGGAGAGGAATGTGCAAACTGCCTCAGGGCATGAGGACATTTGGATTGGCTAGACTGAAATGAGTTTAAGCTGGAGACATAAGCATGTGTATGTATGTGATGCAGAAAGTAACACTGACACACAGCGGGTAAAGGGTGCCTCACATAATGAGGACATGGAAGGGAAGAGGTCACTGCTGTGAGTAGAGTGCCTCATGTGGGAAGGCATTCACATTATGTAAAGATACCCAGGGGTAATTTTGAAGACAATGAGGAAACACTGAAAGATTTTTTTTTCCTTAGTACTACGGACTGAATTTATTCCCAGCCTTTTTTCACGCTGAACTACATTGCGAGCCCTTTTTTCCCCATTTTTAAAATTTTGAAAAAGGGTCTAGGTCACTAAGTTAGGCAGCATGGGCTCGAATTCACAGTTCTCCTGCCTCAGTCTCTAGAGATTCTCTCAAGTACTACTATACTCACAAGATTTTTTTTTGAGGTGCTAGGGATCAAATCTAGGATCTCATATGTTAGGAAAGTGGTCTACATTGAACTATATCCCTTAGTCTGCCCCTGAAATGTCTGAGATGGAGAATAGACAGATCTGAGGTGTAGCAGCTTGACTGTAAGAGTTATCTGGCTTCTGTTCCCATGTAAAAAAGTGTGACCACTGGGAGTGGTGGTACACTCCTGTAATCCCAGCACTCAGGAGGCAGAAAGATTATCACAAGTTCAAGGATGGCCTGAACTATCTAGTGACTTCAATCCTTGAAGTCAATAGTGAGAGCCTGTCTCAAAAAAAAAAAAAAGTGAAATGCTATTGCGCCAGGAAAGGCTATTCCTGGCCTATCTAGTGCTCCCTCAAGGCTGTTATGGTTTATACTTTGTGTAACTGGAGAAGTCTAGAAGCTTAACTAAGGGACTCAGCAGCTCCACATCCTGGGGTGTAGGGGACAAGCCACTACCATTCTAGGATATTGTACCCTGTGTCAATCTGAGAAGGACAGAGGTTTAATTGATTCAGCAGGGGGCCAGGATCCTTAGTGTATAGTCTGTACAAGAGGAGGGTGTGCAAATGGTATGAGTGCTACACCAACCCCAGGGGAGCAGCCTGCATATAATAAAAGGCAATGAGGAGGGATTGCTTGCTGATTCTTCAGAGGAGCTCCAGTCTTCGCCTTCATCTTAGATATCTCCTGGCACAGACTGTTTGCCTTCCACCTGGGACTCTTCAATCCTCCATTGTAGATTCTTCAGTGCTCCATCACAGACTCATTGGCCTCCTGATTCGGACTTGCACAGGACACTGCAATGAGCTCCAGCCCTTGGACTGAATCCTTCAGACTTCAGTGTGCAGAGATCCTTTGCATATTCCTTCATCCATCTTGTGGCTGACCATTGTAAACCAATATTGTAATTTTATTATACATCTGTATATCTTGTGTTATATATGTTTATCTAGTAAACTCTGACTGATACACAGGCCTTTTCCATACACAGGAGCTAGAATAATCTCCTTAACTCACATGATATCCATGATACCATTAATGCTCATAAAGTCCCTTCCACTAGGTGTGGTGGCACATGCCCATAGTCTTAGCACTTGGGAGGCTGAGGCAGAAGGACTGCCATGAGTTTAAGGCCAATATAGTGAACTTAAGGCCAGCCTGAGCTACACAGTGTACACAGACTCCATCTCAAAAAAAAGGTCTCTTCCACAGTATCTGTGAGACTCAGTGCAAAGTTCATATTCTTTGCTAGACCCACAAGATCAACACCATCTGAACCCTTCCCCCCTCTCCAAGCAGCTGGATAAGAAGTGCTAAGGTCTGGGGAGATGAGACTCTGTCAGTTTCATTTGCTTAGTAAATCTCTGACTTCACAATATTCACCAGAATGAAAGGAGTGACATGGCATGTGAGGAGCAAGACCTGCTAAGACTCAGAAATGAGGCATCAGGAATGGGTGTATATGGTGGTAGGAGTCAAGAGTAAGAGCAAGTAGGTGATCTGAGCAAGGAATCTGCAGTGGCTGAGGCCTCTCAGCAAAAGTTCAGAGTTGTGCATAGCAGTGATGATGTAAAAAGAAAACGTTTGCCTCCCAGAGTCTGGCAAGAAATCGGAGTTAGCCCCCAACTCTTAGGAGGCTTCTTACTCCAGTCCAATGGGAAACCATCCCTGGAATGAAGGCACTATTTTTGAGTTTCACTGTGCTGAACCTCCTGAGGGAGGCAGGGAACACGTAGTATCTTAGAGGTATGACACATAAGGGGCTCACTACACCTGTCTCTTTGTTTGTCCTACAGGCAAGACACTTCAGAATCCTTGCAATAAGATTTGGCTCTGACCACTGCAAACTGGGCAGGTGTGACATGTCCACCTCAGGCTGGCCTGAAACCCCACTGTTAACTCATCCAAATTCTCTTTCTCCTTGGCCAAAAAAGTAAAGAACTGTGCAGCACTGAGGCCTTGGGGATGGCAGGACCACTGATCAGGGGAACACATAAAACAGTGTCCCTCCAACACATATGCTAGACCACAAGAGGAAAAATACACCTCAGTTATGCAGTGCCACTGAAAATTGTACAACTGAAAGAATTTTACCTGGCCCTCCTGTGAACCAGTGGCAGTTGTGGTCTGGGAGGACAGCCAAGAAGTCAACCTATTTCTCCTATGATCCAGTGGCAGCCATGCAGGCCCTTCCTGTGAGCCAGCAGCATTGTGGGCCAGGAGGAGAATCAAGAAGTCAGCTGGCCCCTCCCATGAGCCAGCTGGCCCTCAGGCTGGGAGACAAGAAGAGTCCCCCAACACAGGCCGATAGGCAACTGAGGTTTCTGCTGGGAAGAAGGACCACATTGGTTGTCAGATTCCATACAATATGTGTTATAGCTTGGCAGAAAGTTTGTTTGCATTTTACTCATGTTCTGAGACTTTGCCTAAGATTAAAGGTGGTAGACTAACTAATATGGTAAAAGAAATTTCAAGGCAGTCTAATGTTGAGGCTGTGGCATAGCTATTGTTGGGGACTTTTTGCCAGATTTATGTTGCAAATCAACAGCAAAGAACCCAGCAGGATGATTTAAAACGTTGGGAGTTTGGCCAGGAAGGAAGCTCCAGTAAAGCTATGGACTGTAAAGATAAAGATGAGATCTTGATTGCTGAGAAGGAATAATAAAAATAAAAAAGAAGCAGAACACAAACTGGGATATAGCAACTGAGGTACAAAAACAACTTAATACTTCCATTGTTTGACTGATTTTGCAGGCCTAAATGATAACAATATGCAATATAGCAACTAATAGAAATTTCCTTCCATCTTTTTTTGAAATCCAATTTTGTTATCACTATTTTGTTTTAGCCCCTTCAAAATAAATGAACAAACAAAAGTTAGAGCTGTGACACACATTGGCTACCATGGGCTGTTACACACTTATTAAAATGAGAATGCACCAAACAGAAATAACTTCCCTAAAGTCTCTGTAACCTTTGTAGTCTGGGCAAGGAATCTGGAAAATCTCTTCCATACTGATGGACATTTTTGCTGAACAATGACAAGCAGGCCTCTCTAGAGTAGAGTCTGTCTAGGTATAGGAAGGTCCCTTCGGGAGGAAGCTGCACTTAAGGTTGCACCTACCTTTCCAACATGTATTCCAGGTTGGTCAGCCTTGCTTCCCCTGCAGACACAATGTGGATGGCATAAGAGCTGAGGGAGCGGTGGACAAACCCCCGGGAATGCAGGTATCTCAGGGCATCAGCAATTTGCAGCAGTAAGTGCACCATCACCTCCATGTGCAGCACAGGGAACTGGGACCGCTGCAAGTGAGAGACAAAATGCCAGAACACAAAGGAAAAGCCCGATACTGTAGGATCCGGTATCATTTCCAACAGCTTTTCACTTAAATCTCCTAATTCCTTAGTGTCCCTATTTTACAGATAACGAATTTAAAGGTGGGTGTGACCATGCTAAAATGCCATTGAGCTGGCCCCTACTCAAACCTGTGCTCCTTTACTTTGGCTGAAATTCTTTGTAGAGTACCTGTTACAAGCATCAGGGATCAGCCTGAGGGATATTACAAGGAAATGTATCCCACAACCAGAGGTAAACATGCCCTATAAGAACCCTGCAGAAGGCAGATAACCAATCCAGCCCTGCCTACAGTCAGGAGTACGAGGAAGACCATCCTAAGAAGACAGAAATTCATTCATATTGATGTACCCAGGTCATGTCTCTTCTCTAGGGAAATGCTGTCCGTTTTAAGGACTCATTCCAGCAAGGGAATAAAAAGCAAATGCAGAATGCTAATGAAGTCATCAGGAAAGAAGGAAGGAAGGAAGGGAGGCAGGCAGGCAGGCAAGCCATCTGGGAGAAAAGTCTCAGAGGATCCCTCTTTACTCTCAGCATCTTTAGAATAAAGTCACAGAGAAAGAAACATCCTCTAGGAGCTCTCTGAGGCCACATGGTTTTCTGGAAACCTATTAGCCATGGAAGGTCTTTCTTTGCCAAAAGGAAATGTAAGCAATTACAAGGAAGGAATAAAGACTGCTATAAACTAGCCAGGACAGACCACAAGTGGAAAAAAAGAGTTGGAGACAACAAATTATTTAGGGATGGGCCATCCTCTCCCACCCACAAAGACTAAAATGAAACCAGTGGATTAAAGAACACTCCCCGGCAAGATCCTTCTTAGTATAAGATCATCTCTGCCCTCTTGAGTTATCCTAAGATTATCCACTGCCCACTGAGTCATTGGCCTCTGAGTCTTCAACTGACCTTGAATCTTCAATTAGCCACTCCTACCAAGGTATACACTCAATAATAGTGGCTGACTTGGAGTGTCTTTGTCTCTGCCCGTCCTGAGGCACTGACCTCCCAGCCTTACTTCATGAATTACTAAATTTGTCTGTTTCCTATGTCATCCCTTTGCCATATCCTTCATACAGGCAGTTGGAGATCTTGGCCAGATCCCTGATAGCAAAGAAGGAAAGTAGACAGTGAGCAATGGCTTAATGAACTAGAAACAGGTTCTATGTATTTCTGGGCAGGACTGACAAGATGTCACATTAGTTCTGACCACGTGCACATGAGCATTAAGTAGAATATTACACAGCCCCATAACAAAACACATTCTCTGTGGGACCTCTAGGGCTTGTACAGAGGAGAAAGGGCAGGGAAAAGCGGTAAAGGTAGCAGGGGAGGAAAGAACATAGAATGGCTGATTACCCGTTCATGAAGGACACTGAATAGTGTGCCAACAGTGATGCGCTCATACACAAGTTGGGTCTTCTCCAGGTCCTGGGACAGGCACACAGCCATCAGTTGTAGCAGGTGCGGATGACGCAGCTTGCTGCAAAAGAAGTAAGTTTCACAAAGGATGGGGAATAGGAGCACATCATGAAAACACAAGTGTTGTCCTTTTATTAGGCCCTTTGAGTCCACAGTAAACAAAATTTTTCTAAGAAAAGAGCAAGGATTGGAGGTTCAGTAGTCTCTGTTGGTAGAACCTATGGCTTCTCTCACTAACCACATCCTGAGAGCTTACAAGAATCAAAATAACAATGACAATGTTGCTGTAAGTTATTGAGCAAGACATTCTGTCTCTGTTGTACCTGTCATCTTATACTGTAATCATCACATGTTAGAAATACATCCTTATATTCTCACTTGAGAAATGAAGTACCTAACATTAAGGAAACACGAGGAACTTTTCCAATGTGACACATCCTATACTATGCCTATAGGTCTTCCCAAAGCTCTTGGGGCTTTAGACTGATTTCTCCAAAAAGAAACACTGGCCTCTCTAGGGACACCTCCTATAGCAGTTGGGCGGACTATTCAGTTAAGAGCTTAATGAGCCTAGATTCACTACAGGCTGTTCCAGCAGGAACTGAAGGACCAAAACTTGCAACCAGAGGAAATCTAACAAACTAAAGACTCATAGCCATGTCCTCAATGTTGGAGATGTGGTTCTTAGAGATATGGATCTCATGCCCAGACATGCTCCAAGAAAACACATGATTTCATGATGAACCCAGTGCTCCAAATTGGGCAAGGCTCAGGGACAACAGAAGGAAAACCAGATGGGCCCAGAAGTTGGGCCATCCATTAGAGGGGTTATGGAAGAGTACACAGACTTGAGCCCCTCACCATTGTAATCCCTACCCCTCAGATTTCATCAGTAATTCTTATTTCCCTTTTCTTGGCAGCCTTTGGAAGTCAACTCAACCAATTCTGAGTCAGGAAATATGAGGTTGATGGGGGCTGGTACTCTGCACCCCATAGACCACCCTAGCAAGGAATTCGGGTCTCTAGAGACCTGGTCCTGTAATTGATCCGGCCGCTGGGCCTCCTGCTTACCTGCTATGTTCCTGCTCAGCAATCAGTAAGTCAGCCAGCCTCAGCTTGTTGCTGTGAGGGTGGGTGGGGAGATTCAGGCTCTTCACTGTGACTCTACTCCCATTCCACACAAGGCTACAAGGGCAGCAGAATACAAGCAAAGGGCATTAGCAGCCATGGCTTCAGTGAGCCAGCTTTCCAGATAAGACCAGAGGACTGGGTTCACACAGAACCTGTTACATCCCATGGGATGAATGGATTCTCTCTACCCAAAACTACTGGATTCCCAACACCTTGGAGAATCAGGTGTGGTATCAGGAAGTCAGAGAGGTTTCCAGGGAGGGAGTGATTTGGTCATATGTGCATTTTAAAAACACAATAGTACCAGCAGTGTGGAAAATGGATAAGGCAGCGGTGATGAAGAGAATAAAAGACCAGTCAAGGGTCCATCTGGGTGAAGGACAGTGATAACTCGGGTAGAGGCAGCAGCAATGGAACACAAAGGCAAGATCCATCAATAAATTCAGGGAGCAGGGGGATTTGTAAATTTGGCAGAGGCCTTTTTATTAGAAGGGTGATTCTTCTAGGCAGAGATGAAGCATTCAGGTTCAAGAAGCTGAGAGACCTGGGCTAGGACAGGTCTCTGAAGACTGAGAAAACCCCAGGGACTCTTCATAAACAAACCCTGTTACTGTCACCTCCCCTGGATTTGGCTGATGAGACCCCCAAAAGATGCCTGTTTCATCTTCTACAGAGGCTTCAGTATCCTTTTGCCTGTATCAAAGGCACAGCAATCAGCACAAAGTTACCTCAGTATTTCAGAAAGCAAAGAGGTGAAACTATTATAAACAAGTAATCTTTCAGAGCTGGATTCTCCCTCTCAGAACACATGGGAAATATGCATAGACAAGTGTGGCTGTTACAACTACAAAGGGCATAAAGGATTGCCACTACTACCTAATGACAAGGGTCAAGGGAGCCAAACATCCTACAATGCACAGGTCTGCCCTCAGTAACAAAGGATCAGCTAGCCAAAAATTTTCACATGAGAAACTCTGATGTAGACACATGTTCTTAAACGCTCCCTTGTGTTGAAGAGGAAACTCTCTACATATAAGGGTGTTATTTCAGCCCACACTTCCCATGAACCAAATGAATCCTCCCACTGACCAGCTCCTTACTTGGTCATGACCATGTAAGGCCCACTGATAAAAGAGAAAGTGGGCTCATCATCAGCTTGAATCATTTCCTTTTCTCCAATTATTGGAAGAGAGCCTAGATAGGCAAGCTGTGTGCCACCTGTGAGATAAAACTGAAACCAAAGCATAGACTCAACTCATGGGGAGAAAAAAGGAAAAGCAAAATACTACCAGAATCTTGTTAGCTATCTAAAATTAGTTAAGAACTGATACTCACTTGCTGAATATCTCTATGCACTATAGACATTATTCTTTAATTTTTATCATTTTAAATCTTCCTAGAAACACTGCTGGGTTATTGTATTCTTTCCTTTCCACTAGTGATAAAAACTGAGTTGGAGGTCACACACTTGTCTGAAGTACTGGAGGCTGACTGAGGAGCCTCCCATAGAACCTGGACCTACATGTAGACAAAGCACACATTCCTGGGTCTGCTTCTGCAGATTACTCAGGCAAATACCACTCATCTGCCAAGCAGTTTTTCCCAACTGTCTATCTTTGATTGATAGAACCAAGGATTCAAAACTTACTATCTTTTCTCACAACATTCCTTCAGTTTAAAAATCCAAATTCCTCAAAAGGATGTCGGCCATGCCTATAAGCCAGTGGGAGGCCAAGGTCATCAGGCAACAAATCCATTGGGGGTAGTGTAGCTCTCATTCTCGCTGTTAAGGGAGAGTAATGAGGCCTTCATTGAAAATTAAATCACCTTCTAAACTTCTGAAATCTAGCCCACAGTCATCCACAGGAATTCTCCATAGTTTTTATTGTTTTTCAGTAGAGACAGAAGCCTCACAACATGACAAGAAAAAAAAAATACTTTGGCAAGGGTAAAGGAGAAAGTCTTATTAACAAAGGTCACATGGTGGTTCACATGATTTCCAGTTAGTCCTACAACACTGGTTGTTATTAGCAACACCTTACCTTCCCAAAGCCAAAGCTGTAGATATTTTGGGTAGAAATGACTCCAGCTTTAAGAGGTCGATTAGGAGAACCACTAGGACTTCTAGAAATGTATACAGAAAAAAAATGAAAATTAGCCACTCACATAAAGAGGCATAATACTAACCCTAATTTTGGAAGGTGCAGTTCTTGTGACTTTTTTTAAAGAGTTCAATCTCTTACACTACAGAAGGAATGCAGCAGGCACTCTGGGCATCCACTGCAACCCTCAGGTGAGAGGCACAGCTCTCCGAAGGTTCATAAGCCCCTCCTCCAGTCAACATCAACACCAGACATTACCAAGACTATGGCTGCTTTCTCTCCACCTACAGAATGCTTCACAAATCTGCATGTCATTCTTGTACGAGACACATGCTTCATGCTCATCTTCTCTGTGTCCTAGTGCTGGTATATGTGCTGCTGAAACAAGCATGATATGACTTGACTTTTATCATGGAATTAAAGACTATGATAGCCAACCCTGAAAAGACTATGGTGATTGTCACCACCTGGTATTCATGATATTCATAGTCAAAGAAGTTTAACCTGTTAGCTTAGTAAGATATTGTGGAAATGATGGGGTAACCCTTCCAAAGCAAAGGCTAACAGGGATTCTGCCTTGATCTCTCTGGTATTATTTGCTTTGAGAATTGTGAGGACATTGAGCAGCCCAACACAGAAACCAAATATTCAGTACCAATTTTCTAACCATGGAAGTATGCCCTTTTGAAACTGGATCCTGCATTCCCCATCAAGCCTTCAGATGGATTATGGCAGCTCCAAAAGATATCTTCAGTGTAAACTAGGTAAGCCATTCACTGCATCCTGATCCCAGAAATTCCATCAGATAAACATATTTAGTTCCCTACTAAAACAGATAGTAAGAAAATGTAGAAAGGAACACAAGAAAAGAAAGGATGGTATAAGGATGGATAACTAGGGAGAAGACTATAAACAAATATAGTCACTGAAACAAAAAAAATGAAACTGGGGAGGATGAAAATGATTTAAGTGTGTTATGTGCACTAATCAGCATAAACAATACTCACTAATAAAAAAGATATGAAATTAACAAAAAACAGTTGGTAGGGGTTGGGAGGAATCATAAAGCATATCTTCTACAACTTTCTCATTTTACAATGGGGAAAATGAAGCCGAAGAGAAGTCACAGACCAAGAGCACAGACCAAACTTGGACCTCACCCAAACCACTGCCTGCATGTAAGATTCCACTAATTAAAGGCACCTTGGAATGTCATACATTTCTTTGGGTCCAGAGGCCTGGGAGTATGCCATGCATGTAGCAGGTGCTTAGTGGATGCTTTATGAGTAGTTTTCACCCAGATTGCAGGATAGGGAGAGGCACTAAAACATTTTCCCTTCTTGGCAAATGGCAAAGAAGCTGGTGGGACAGTGTATACCCAGCCCCAGTCTGTGCCAGGTCTATGAGGTCACATCATGAACAGATGAAAATGCTGTACTTCTGCTCTTGCAATTGCCCAGGCTTTATATCTCCTCAGCAACTTTTCAGTTCCAAGCTGTCCTTTCCCTCCTTTCACACGTCATGCTGCTGAAGAGAAGACTCTCAAATCTGGACTGAGGTAAACTGGACATCTCAGTTTACACTTTGTATCCCAGGATCATCCTTTTGGAAATAATCAGTGTACGGGGTAACTTCTGTGGTTTCCCTGATTTGAGGAGACGCATTCTCCTGTGTGTGTGTGTGTGTGTGTGTGTGTGTGTGTGTGTGTGTGTGTGTCTTTTTGAGACAAGGTCTCACCATGTGGTTCAGGCTGGCCTTGGGCTCACTGTGTAGCCCAGGCTGGTCATGAACTTGCAATGATCTGCCTGCCTCAGCCTCCTCAGTGCTAGTATTACAGGAATGCACCATAATGCCCAGCTGAGGAGACACATTCTTTAGAGAAAAGCCACTTTCTTATGCCAAATCATTAGTCTCCTCTATAAACAAGGCCTATGTGCTTAGCCCTAACAGATCTAGGAAACAATGGAGCACTTCTAATCCCAGGGGAACAGATTAGTATTAGTGAGGGTGGGATCCCCCCTCAGCCATGCAACAGGAGACACCACTGCTCAGGCCTCCCGTCTTCCATCTGATCAGCACATAGGCTCATTAGAAGGTAGCAGCACTGTTTAAGCAAAGAAGCTGACTGTTCTCTGGCATCAACCTGGATCACGCTGCAGTTCAGACTAATGTGTCTTGCTCTCTGATCTAAATCTCTCAGTCTCTGGGCCAGGAATATAGCTCAGTAGCACAAGCGCCTGCTTGGCAATTGCAAGGTCTTGAGTTTGATTCCTGGTCCTCCCCAAAAAACAAAAAGCGAAAAAACAACTAAGTCCCTGTCTATGTAACTAAATGTTTCAGTCCCTATCCATGTAAGGGGAGTAAAAACGACTCTGGTTATCCACAACTATCCAGCCACCACTTTGTCTTTGTTTAGTGCTTTCATCTTTCCCGGTCCTGGCTCTGCATCTTCATATGCCTACGGACAATCGTATCTGATGTGGTATCACTCATAGACCTTAGGCCAACTCTTTATTTCTAGGACTTGTGTGATTCTTTATATTACAAAAAAAGGAGATGTGCATTTCCATCCTATTTTCCATTAAACATACCATTTACTTTAGGTTTTTAATTAGATGAATTATGTAATTATGAAACAGACACTATGTCTAGATTAGTAATTGATGTTTCAAGTGTTGACCAATTTTTTTTTTTTGAGACAGGGTCTTGCTTTGTAGTACAGGCTAGCCTTGAACTCACTATGTAGCCCAGGCTGGTCTTGAACTTGTGTGTGTGATCCTTCAGCCTCAGTCTCCTGAGTGCTGGGATAACAAGTATATACCACCATGCCCAGCACAAACGTTTATCGATATTGAATTTGGGATTTCTTTCTTGGCTTTCCATAAACATACTTTATTTGTACTGACCAGGCCACTAAGGGTTAGTGATGAATGATTCATAGTCTCTGTCCAATTGGTATTCACAGATTGGTTAGAAAAACAGAAAACACTTGCAAATAAAATGACAAGTGAAAAATTTCTGTAAATGGAGTGGATAAACTGTACAAGGGCAGCACATATCTTACAGCAGCTTCAAACAGCCCCAAAAACCATAAATTAAGCATTTGTGAACTTCTACAACCTTCATAAGAAAGAAATATTCTTTCCAAGATTCAGAAGATGACCAAAAAAAAAAAAAAAAAAAAAGCCAGGCAGCTACCCTACCAGCTAAGTTTTTTCTGCTGGGCCCCTCAGACTTAAGATGTTCCTCTTTTACCGATGGGATCTGCCTGGATTTCCCCGATTTTCTAGGGGGAGGAGGATGCTCTTCTGGCAGTCCTTTCTTAAGGGTCACATCTCTTTCCAAGTGCAGCTCTTTCTCTGGGTGGCCGAGATACCAGCAAGTATACTTGTAAAGGAGACCAGCAGCACATGTCACAGGGCTCCCATTAGGAAGGGGGTTGGAGCAGAATATTCCATGTGCTGGAATCAGTACTCACCCTTGCAGTAGGCCCACAAGGCAGGGTGGGCTGCAGATGAGCCGTTGAGGGGAGTCTATCTTCTTCAGGAGGTCATGAGAGAAGCCTTGCATGATGGCCTGCATGTGCAAGGCACAGCGCTGCATGAACTCCACCATCTATAACACATGGTAAAGACACTCAACACTGGCCACATCAGCCCTTGATGGAAATACAGGTTTGGGTGAAGCATGAATGACAGACCTCCCAGAGGGGAGAGAAAGGGAACAGAAGACTTTCAGATGGATGGAACATTTTCAAGGAGAAGATTTGTCCACGACTGCCTCAAATTTCCTCATTCCACACCTGAGGAAATTGAGGTAGAGGGGTAAAATCTCTTGCTCAAGGCTCAAGAGGTAATAAGCAGAACCAGAGGGCAGGAAGTATATTGCACCAAGAGGTTGGCATTTCGCATGTTCCTGGCTTTCACATCTGTCCTGTTATTTAGCTCTCATTAAAACACATTACATGTGGGACTGGGGATGTAGCTCAGGGACACAGCACCTGCCTCATAAGCAAAAGGTCCTGAGTTTGATTCCCAGTACCAAAACAAACAAACAAAACAAAAAAAATCACATCGCACCGGACAGTGAGTGGCCTCAAGCACGTTACACAATGTCAACAGGACTATGGGAGTAAAATGAGGACAATAACAATACTGTACTGAGCTGAAAGGCTATTGAGATTTAGGTAAGTCATTTAAAAAAAACTTCTTTGGAACATGACTGGTGGTAAGGGCTAAAGGGGTTAGACAACATTATTGCTCTCCCTCTTCACTCAACAAATGATTTTCTAGAATCACTAGACTTGACCAAGGTTCTATACCAGGTTAACTTGCTTGGACTCAGGCCTATGTGTCCAATGCAAGGCTAAAACTCCTGCAAGCTCTGCCTTGCACCTAGGATCCTGACTCTCAGGCTGGGGCTCCTCCACTGGACTGGAAAGTGGGACCTCCCTTACCGGGGTACTGCGATCCTTTCCTGCTGCCAAGGCCCAAGTGTGTGGGTTTCGACCCTTCTCATCATGAAGCCGTAGGTCACCCCCTGCATCCAGAAGTTTACTGAGGATCCACTGACTGCCTGAAAATGCTGCTGCATGGACAGGGGTGCTGCCATCAAAGCAGCGGCTGTGAACAGAGGGTGGAAATGAGTACAGCAAGTGTCCATGGCAATATTCCTTTCTTCCTTCCATGGGAAAGACACAAGGCTTGCAGGCCACAATGGCAACCTTTAGTGTTTAGAATTAGAAGAATACCACTCATAAGGCCCCTGGCCTCTACCAACAGGAACCTTACACACATTTGCTTTGTCCATCCATACCTCAAGCCTTCAGCACTCTTGTACATCCAAGAGATAACAGATATAGGTCTGATTCAACACCCCAGTGTTCTTTCCCTACCACACTCTGATATTAGCTGTTCTGAAACAATTCATGTCTGCAGCATCCTAGGGTCAGGTTGGTCAAGCACACAATAACCAGCAACTAGTCCAGGCCCAATCCTGTGATGGGGGCCCAAAAAACCCTCAGTCAAGGACTTATGCCTCAAATAAAGCTCACCAGTGATACTTTTTACGGTATCTCCTAAAGTCTCATGTGCTATACTTACCTGTGGACTCATCTATTAATGAACTCTCAGTTGAATGTGCTGTTAGGGAGTGGGCCTGGTTGGAAGAGGCGTCACTGAGGGGATGTACCTTTCTTTGAAGGTCTACCTCCCTCTGTAGCTCCTCCCTTTTGTCTTTGCATCTTGGCTGTCATGGGTTAAACTCAGGCTGGCTTTGAACTCCCAGCCACCTTGCCCCAGCCTCCCAAGTACTGGGATTATAGGCATACAGAGCCAAGCCAAGCTCAAAGTACTTTTGAAATGCCTCTACTTGTTTTAAGAGCATATGCCTAACCCAGCATAGTGGCACACATCTGTACTGTATAAGATTAATGCAAGAAAACAGCAAATTCAGCTAAGAGCCCAGGCTCAGTAATTTAGCAATTTGAAGAGACCTGGAATCCAAATTTTAAAAAAGGCTAAGGATGTAGCCCAATGCCTACAGGCCATAGGTTCCTTCCCCAGCACCAGGAAACAAACAAGTAACCTCATTAATAGCTATGTATCATGCTACCATACTTACTGATTTGGATCTGATCCATAATCCACCAGAACATCAACTAATTTCGTAAGGCCCAATAATGCGGCCACAAAAAGTGCTGTCTGCCCCAGGGAATTAACTGCATCAATGCAAATTCCTGCAAGGCAAATACAGAAGCAATGTAAATATCAGGAATCTTCCTGAAATCAAAGTAGGAACTTTACAGAAAAGTACCTTCTACTTTCATGAATTACTAGGAGCCTTAAAAAAAAAAAAAAATGGGCCGCGGGATCCCGCTCTGGCCTTGCTGACTGCCTTCTCTGCGCCTACTCTCACCCAGAGTGTACACTGCAGCTGCCAGCCTGGAGGAGTGACTTGGGCTGAGCCAAGGGACCCTACTCCAGCCTTGTGGACCGCCCTCTCTCACCCAGAAGGCACACCACAGCTGCCTACCTGGAGGAGTGAGTTTGGCAGAGCCGCAGGACCATGCCCCGGCCTTGCTGACTGCCCTCTCTCACCCGGAGGGCACTCCGCAACTACCCTCCTGGAAGAGGGAGCTGGGCTGAGCTGCAGGACACACTCCAGTCTTGCTGTCTGCCTTCTCTCACCCGGAGTGCACAGAGCAGCTGCCTCCCTGGAGGAGTGAGCTAGGCCCAGCCACGGGACCAAGCTCCAGCCTCGCTGACCGCCCTCTCTCACCCGGAGGGCACACCGCAGCTGCCTGCCTGGAAGAGGGAGCTGGGCCTAACCTCGGGAACCTGTTTCGGCCATGCTGACTGCATTCCATCACTGGAGGGCCCACAGTAGCTACACCAACTGAAGGAGGGAACTGGGTCAAGCTGGGGCTCCGGCCTTGCCTGCGAACTTCTTTCCACCTGGAGAGCACCAGCACTACTGCCACCACCTGTAGGAGGGAGCAGCCCTGCTGAGAAGGTTTGAGGCCTACCTAGGCCATGAGGGGGCCTTTGCCATCCAAGGATCTGGATGGTTATACAACATTCAAACCCCGGGAGAACATGAGATCCTTGCTGTAGGGGGTTGGGGGCCCACTGGGCTTGTGGCCACACTAGATTGGATTTAGCAGGATTTGGGATTGCCGGGACCACACCAGGTAGCTTTCTTTCCCTCAGGGGAGCTTTGCTGCCAGAGTGGGGAGCTGTGTGGATTGAGGAGGCTTTAGGTCTACCTGAGAGAAGCCTGGCAACCTTCTTTTAATTCAGAGCCTCCCTGCCCAAGGAGGGAGTTATGCTACCAGAGCAGTCCCAGGAGCCCAGGACATAGGAGACAATTTAAAACATGCCCAGGGGAAACTTTGAAACAACACTTGAAAAATACAAATATAAGAAAATGACAAAACGAAAGACCAAAATGCAAACATCCAGCCCATCCCAGGAAAGCCTAGGAGCCATGTACATAGAAGAAAATACATGCCATATGCCTGAAATATCTGAAATAATAGTAACCGAAATAAAGAAACAACTCCAGGAAGCTTTAAAGGAATTCAAACTAGAAATAATCTCTCAGGTAAAAGAAGAAATGCTAAAAGAAATGAACATAGCTAAAGAAGACACAGTTAAAAAATTGGAGGAACTAAACAAAAAGATAAAATCCCTGGATGAACAATATAAGAAACAAACAGAATACCTAAAGCAGATGTAAAGAGATATACAGGAAGTCAAAAATTCCATGGAAAGTTGTAAAAACCTTCATATTCTTCAATGAATATGAAGATAGAATTTCAGACCTCGAAGAAAAGATTGCAGCAAGTGAACAGGAAAGGAAAGATCTTCTAAAAATAACAAGTAATCAGGAAATAAAAATTCAATACCTGCAAGATGATGCAAAGATAAACAACATAAGGTTGATAGGGATAACTAAAAAAGAGGGGGACAATATAAACAATGTCAAGAGGATATTTAGAGAATAGCTGAAAATTTCCCAAACGTAACATTAGAAACTGATATGAGGATCAATGAAGCATATAGAACTCCAAATAGCCATAACCAAAATAAAACTACACCCAGACACATAATAATCACTATCCCAGAAATCAAACAAAAGAATAGAATATTAAAAGCTGTCAGAGAGAAAAGACAGATCACCTATAAAGGAAAACCTATCAAAATCACAGCAGACTTCCCAGCACAAACAATAAAGTTAAGAAGAGCATGGAGTAAAGTATTTCAGATCCTAAAGGAAAATGATTTCCAACCTAGACTGATGTACCCTGAAAAACTGTCCTTCAAAATCGATGGAGAAATAAAATACTTTCATGACAAAGAACAGCTGAAGAACTTCATGATCACCAAGCCAACCCTGTAAAGAATACTGAAAGACAGTTTAGATACACTTAGGAAAAAAACCACTAAACAAAGCAGACAATTAAACAGAACAGAAAGATAAAGATGAAACAGCAGAAAGACAACATGTCAACCATAAACCAACATATAACAGTTATTACCATTGATGTAAATGGTCTCAATGCATCAATTAAAAGAAACAGACTGGCAGAATGGATCAAGAAACAAAATCCAACCATATGCTATCTACAAGAAACACATCTAACCCAAAAGGATACTCACAGACTGAAAGTCAAAAGATGGAAAACAATACTTCATGCAATAGTAACCCTCAAAACAGTGGGGGTAGCTATTCTGTTTGCAGACAATATGGACTTAAAACTAATAATGATAAGAAGAGATAAAGAAGGTCACTACATACTGGTCAGGGGAAAACTTCAAGAGGAAGAGGTAACTATCTTAAATATATATGCACGAAATTCTAGAACACCCAGTTATATAAAACAAGTATTAACAGAAATGAAAAAACCAAATTAGCAGTAATACAATTCTAACAGGAGATCTTAACACACCATTGACACCAATAGACACATCAACCAGACAAAAAATCAGCAAAGAAATAAAAGAACTGAATCACACCTGTGAACAAATGGACTTGAAAAGACATATACAGAGTATTTCACCCAACAACAAAAGAATACACATTCTTCTCAGCAGTACGTGGGTCATTCTCTAAAACAGACCATATATTAACTGACAGAACATATGTAAATAAATGCAACAGCGTTGAAATTATCCCTTGCATGTTATCGGATCATAGCGCTATGAAATAAGAAATTAATGATAAAAGATAACTGCAAAAATCCCACAAACACATGGAAACTGAATAACACACTCTTGAGTAAGCAGTGGGTCACAGAGGAAATTAAAGAAGAAATTAAACAATACCTACAAACAAATGAAAACACAAATAGAACTTACTGGAATCTGTGGGATGCAATGAAAGCTGTCTTCAGAGGAAAATTTATTGCACTGAGTTCCCACATCAGGAAAACAGAAGGAATACAAATAAATAACCTGATGTCACACATCTAATATCTAGAAAAAGAAGAGCAAGTCAAGCTCAAAGCCAAAAGAAGAGAGAAACTTATGAAAAGCAGAGCAGAAATCAATGCAGTACAGACTAAGAAAACAATCCAAAAAAATCAATGAATCAAAGAGTTGGTTCTTTGAAACAATAAATAAAATCCATAAGCCCCGGGCCAACCTTATTTTAAAAAGGGAAGAAAAAGCTCAAATTCATGCAATAAGGAATGAAAAAGGCAAAATCACTACAGACCCTATAGAAATACAGAAGATCGGGACTGGGGATTTAGCTCAGCAGCATAAGCATCTGCCTTGCAAGCAGGCAGTCATGAGTTCGATCCCTAGTACCGATAAAAAGGAAAAAGACAAAAAAAAAAAAAAAAAAAAAAAAAAAACAGAAGATCAACACCTATTTTGAAAACCTCTGCTCACAAAGGTTTGAAAACTCAGAAAAAATAGACAGATTCCTAGAAGCATATAAAGTGCCAAAGCTAGGTTAAGAAGATGTAAAACTGCTGAATAACCCAATTTCTATTAATGAAAGTGCAAATGTAATCAAGTCCTTACCTACAAAGAATAACCCAGGCCCAGACGGATTCACTGCAGAATTCTACAAGAAATACAAAGAAGACCTAATGCCAACACTCCTCAAACTCTTCAATGAAATTGAAAGGGAAGCAATCCTTCCTAAATCGTTCCTAGAAGCAAATATTACTCTAGTACCCAAACCTGAGAAGGACCCAACTGTAAAAGAGAACTACAGATCAATCTCCCTAATGAACACAAATGCAAAAATCCTCCATAAAATATTGGCAAATAGGATGCAGCAAATCATCAAGAAGATTTTACACCATGACAAAGTAGGATTTATCCCAGGCATCCAGGGATGGTTCAACATACATAAATCAGTAACTGTAACCCACCACATCAATAAAACCAAAAGTAACAATCACATGATCATTTCTATAGATGCAGAAAAAGCTTTTGATAAGGTCCAACATTCATTTATGATAAGAACCTTGCAGAAAATTAAAATAGATGTTATTTACCTCAATATAATAAAGGCAGTCTATGACAAACCAACAGCCGGTATCAAACTAAATGGCTAAAAATTGAAGGCCTTTACTTTAAAATCAGGCACAAGACAAGGATGTCCCTTATCACTGCTCCTATTTAATATAGTACTGGAAATACTAGCCAGAGCAATTAGACAGGAGAGAGAAATAAAAGGCGTAAAGATCGGAAAAGAAGAAGTTAAATTATCACTATTTGCAGATGACATGATACTCTACATAGAAGATCCCTGAAACTCCATTGAAAGACTCCTAGATATAAATAAATTAATTCAGCAATGTGGCTGGATACAAAATCAATACTCAAAAATCAATAGCATTCCTCTCCACTAACAAGAAAATCACAGAGAGAGAAATAAGAGAAGCTATACCCTTCACACTAGCAACCCAAAAAAATGAAATATTTAGGAATTACTCTCACGAGACATGTAAAAGACCTATACAGGGAAAATTATAATACACTAAAAAATGAAATTGAAGATGATCTCAGAAAATGGAAAGACATCCCTTGCTCAAGGATAGAAAGAATAAATATAGTGAAAATGGCCATTCTCCCAAAACTGTTATACAGATTCAATGTAATCCCGATAAAAATAACATCAACATACTTCACAGAACTCGAGAAATCACTCCTAAAATTCGTCTGGAGCAAGAACAGACCTAGAATACCAAAGACAGTTCTAAGCAGCAAAGGTAAG